ATTCCTAAAATATGATAAAAAATGAATAGTTAAATATTAATACATAATCAATGAAGAATACAATATATGTACAAGAAACTTTAATAATAACATTGAATTTAAATTTTATATCTCTTGCAACGAGTTAATAATATGCTGACATAATTAGCTACCTCAGAGTTCTACCCAATTAATTATTRAGCACTATAATATTAAATACTACAAGTACAATATGAACGAACTATTTAAATTAAATGTATATATAAATTTCTTACCAATACCATGGTTGTAGCATTTTCAAATAACTGTTTAACATACAAATACGCCTCAGGTGACCAAGGCTTTAAAGTAATATCTTTTAAACCAACCAAACACACAGTTGGTGGAATCTAGGATACATACAAAAAGCGCATATACAGTATACATATTTTAGCATACTTATATTAATTTTATATAATTCCACAATTTAAAATTGTATATGAAATCAATAATATGCAATACCTTTTTTAAAGCGTCTGGTAAATCAACTATACAATCAATTGAAGCAGATACCACATAACCATCATCTATTAAATATAAAGAAAAACACAAATTTTCTAATATGTCAATGATTTTTCCTCTGTAAAATTTATCTGTGCATTTTACAGCAACAATCTCCCCAGGAATRAGGATTCTTAAAACATTTGAAGCTGAAAAATATAACTAACACTATAAACCATGTTTACCAATTATTTCAWATGGATTAAAATTACCATTTTCACAATGCATTTGCAATTGTTTACAAACATTAACAAAATAATCAATACTTCTCACAAATATATGCCTCCAATCATAAATTTCTACTTTTGCGAGAACGACAGAACTACCATTTTTAAACATAAGTGAATTATAATTTGAGTCTTCAATGTTTATACATTTCTGTAGGTCCCAATTTTTTATGATAAACTCAATAGATGTAGTTTTAAAAAAAAGTTTCATAGTTTTATATGTTTCATTGTTTGGTTTAACTATAAACGGTTCAAATTTTGCATTATAATCATCGAAGTTCTGAAATTATGATAAAAATAATAATTAAAATGTGCAACTCTAAGGTTGCAATATTATTGTTTCACCAAMATAGTGATTTAAATAATTTGAATTTAATTAATATAAAGGAATAAACATTAGATATATATTGTGTTATATACTATTTTTAATAAATCTCGTGATATATCTATTAAAGGGGGACTTGCTGCATGAATAAAAATTAGTTTTTTGCCATTTAATCTATAAACTAAAAAGTATATTAAAAATCATGAGATTAATGAAAATAAAATGTTGAAAGGGCAAAACTTTCATCAAAATCAACTCTATAAAATAGGTATCTATCTTTATTTTTCAAAAACTAAAAAATTTAATTTAATTAAAAAATAAAACACATTTGTCTTCAGCCTTTGTCTACGAGTCTAATTAAAAAAAAAAAAACAAACAGATTTATGATATATTTGTTATCTCAGAAGATATCACAATGGGTAAATCCTCGCAGGACACCCTGTATTTATGTATGACTATTTTATGTTTTGTCTTGAACCCCCTTACTTAGACCACATTCTTATAGGTCATCATATAGGCTTTAGTGAGTAGACCAACCTTATAATATTCCATTTTATCTCAATTATATTATACATTTTTTTATTGGTAAATAAATACTATTAAAAATATTATTATTGTGTGATTAAATTCAAAAGACAAAAATCAGTGAAGTACTGACTTATGAGTTTAATTTACATATTTTMAACCTTTTTCATAGGTMTCATTAAAACTTGTAAATAGTTTTTGAAATATTAGTAATA